AATTATTATTATTATTTCGTTACATTACACGTGTTTATCTATTAAATATTATTAGGCGAAGGAATTAAAGCGCCCTTTCAGCTAAAATAATACTAATAATAATAATAATAATAATAATAATAATAAAAAAACAATTTTCAATGAAAATCGTCTAACGCCGCCATCCCACTTTATTTCAAAACAGATATATATGTTTTATCGTCTGTTATTTTAACATTATTATTATTATTTTCTTATTTTAATACGTAGTCGACCCTACCTTAGGGTTAACCTAAGATAAATTTTTTCATTTCTTTCACAACCTTGTTTAAATTATCGAATTTAAAAAGATTATCCTTAAAAAAAAAAAAAAAAAACCTAAGGGCGAAAAAACACGCGAAAATCATCGTACGTAAACCCCCCCCCCTACCCCGTGTGAAAAAAACGCGAATAAATTAATTAATTTTTTCCATATTAATTACTAAAAGTTTTTCCGGTCTCTTTTTATGTTTTTATTAATTATTTTCCCTAATGCCTAGGTAGTCTGTAACATTTTTCCAACCGTTTTTAACATCCGAAAAAAATTTTCTAATTAATTTTCTCCAAAAAAAAAAAAAACTAATTGATTTCCTTTGTGACCGAAAAAACTTTTTACTCCCTTCCCTTTCCCCTTCATCATTCGTACTTTTTTTTTTTTAAAGCGCATTACCCTAAATTTTCTCTTAATTTCTTTTCCGCTCTTATTAATAATTATACATAATCTCCTTTAAATATTTAATAAATAAACGAGTGAGTCAATCAAATCAACGTCAAACTCATCAATTAGACTTGTCCCGTGTATCGCACTTTCAAACCGTTACAACATTTTACGGGTAATAATACATAAAAAATGAATAATATTAATGCGTGTTTTAAAATAGATTACAAACGATTTGGAAAATAATTGCACACGTGTCACGCACGCACGCAAACACGCACGCACACACGCAAATAAGAATAAATAAACTCGAAAAAAAATAATAAAAGTTCAAAACGGTAATAAACATTTTCAGTCAAAATCAGTCAAAATTTCAAATTCGAAAGCGACTTTTTTTTATTTTAAAAAAACTAATTTATATAATTTCGAAAAAGATTTCTCCCCCCCCCACCGACAACTTAACTTTTAAACTAATTATCAAAACATTTAAAAATTAATAAATATATCTTTCTTTACAAAAACCTTTTCGAAAATAAAATTTAATTAATATTTTTAAAATTTTCAGAGAATAGCAGGGAGAAAGAGAAACACAGAGAGAGAATTTCATTCGAAGATAATTTTTTGAAAATGAAGTAGAATTTTCTCATCATCTCGCATATCCAAAATGAAAAACTCGAATTTAAAAATGTGGGGATTGATGGGTTTCATTCACGTCGCTCTCCTCATTCAAACCCTTTTCGCGGAGACGACCTACGGATCCGTTTTACCTCGTCCGAACCTCAAACACCGTTCGACGACGCAAATCGCAAGCATAACCATGGGAAACTACCTTCCAAAGTACAAAAACTATTCCGAAGAAGGTACGATCGTCATAGTGACGTCCAGCGAATTGCCCAAACAAATTCCGCCACCGCCGACGCCGACAAAGCCTCACAAGCCGACGTCCAAATACGACAACGCGTTGAAAGAAACATTATACGGGAAAAACAGATTGTATCAAAAAGAGTTTTTAACATCTTTACACGTTTCCTAATGAAACCAAGAGGAAGAAAGAAAGAGAGAGCAAGAGAGAGAGAGAGAGAGAGAGAGAGAAAAATACCATTTTCGAAATAGAAAAACAAAAAAAAAAAAAAAAAATTACGTAACTATAATTGAATACGTTTGCTACGATGGTGGAACTCAAGTTCGGCAATTAATTAAAGTGAAATTTTTTTTTTTTAGAATGCCGACAAAATAATTTAAGTAAAAAAAAACTTTGTGTGCGTGTATGTGCGTGTGCGTAATCGTGCGTGTAAGGAATCGTGTAAATACATAAAATGCTTTTAACCGCTTTAACCTAAATATAATTAATATTAATATTGAATGTGATCGATGGAGAAAATAAAAACCGACTAAAAACGCCGCGAATATACCGAAAATAATAATAATAATAATGATAATAATAATATTTAAAGCACAAATAATTGAAAAAATGTACGAATTCCCTCCCGAGTTTAATTACGCGTTTCGATAATTAAATTTTTTTTTTTCTAAGCGATCAATTTTTTTTTTTTTTTTTTTTTGATCGTTTACACACGTTACCATTTTTTTTTTTTTTTTTTTACTTAGCTAAAAGCAGAAGAAAAAAAAAATTTTTTTTAATAATGAACAATGAAAGAATACCGACAATGAAACGTTTGCGTAAAAAAAAAATTTTTTTTAAATAAAAATAAAATAAATATATAAGAAAAAACCAAAGCAAAATGACGTAAAACGATATTGCGTGTGGGTGTGTGCGTGTGCAGGGTGTCAATTGTGTTTAGTTTGTAAAATAAATGTTTTAATAATAATTAATAATAATAATAATAAAATTTTTTAAAATTATTTCAAATTTCGAATCGATAAATCGGACTATTTCTACCAATAATAATAATATTTTTGGGTTATTTTTATAAAAATTCTATTAAAATAAAATTTATATTTATTTTGTGGTATTTGATCGATTTCTTATCTAAAACCTCCTCCCCTTTTCTTCTAAATAGGAAATCAATAACTCTAATACAATACAAAGTTTAAAAAATGAGACTAATACCGGAAAACTTAAAATCATCCCACCCTCCCCGCCCCCCCAAAAAAAAAGAATTCCAACAATTTTAAATAATTAAAGTTTTTTTTTTAAAGAAAGTGATAATTTAGTGTACGAAAATGTAAGAAAGGGATAAAAAACTTTATAATAAACTTTTAGATAAAGTTTTTTGGGGGTTGCAACTTTAGAATTTGGCGAGATATCACACTCTTTCACCCTTATAAAGAAATTTTACAATAAAAATTTAAAAAACAAAAAAATAATCCTACCTGTTCGGATTTAAGAGTCAATTCTATAAATATTTGTTGAAGTTTTTCATTAACGAAATTAATGCAAAACTGTTCGAAACCATTTTTGTCAAATATTTCAAATCCGTAAATATCCAAAATTCCTACGTTGTAAGTGTTTGCCTTAGTTGCCATCGCATCATTAACGACCTGAAAATTTTTTAAATATATTTAATTTCACGAATCAATCAATCACAAAAAAAAAAATTAATTGAAACTTACATTGACTAAATAATCAAATAATTTCGAATAAATAGCTTTAGCGAGAGCATCCCTTGTGTAACAAGCTTGTTCGATGTTTAATGTTACATTTACGGTATCCGACTGGGATCCCCATTTTCCATCAAATTTCCTACTAATAAGTTTTGATTTTAATTCTTCAACTTTTACATCAAGCAAATAAGCAGGATAAGTTAAAACTGCAACAAATAAAAAAAAAAATTAGGGAACGATTATTTTTGAATTTATTAAAATCTTTAATTTGTTGGAAAATAAATTTTTTTTTTTTTTTTATTTACATTTTTCGTTTTCGACAACGGCATAATTTCCATTTTTGGAAAAATTTATATTTCCCAAGTGCAGTACAGAAGACACAATTTTTAAAATGGAGAATTGTTTTTTTTTGCTCAAACCCATTACATTCATAGCTTCCAGAGTTTCTTTAAAATTTTTGGCATCGTTTGTACCTTCGACTAAGTAATTTCCACCAAAGGTAAGATAATTAAAATATTCAGGATTTAATATACCAAGATCCTTTAAAAAAAAAAAAAAAAAAAAACATTGTAAAATATTTTATTCGAAAAAAAAAAAAATTTGCTGTATTTAATATTTGCTGTAGTTCATTCAATTCGCTGTAAATTTTTAAAAGTTGAAATTGTAATTCTTTTAAATAATCAAAATTTTTTTGAATTTAAAATATCAAAATTAAAAATTTTTTAAATGAAAAATTTATTATAATACAGGGAAAAATACTAACTTTTCATTTTTTCATTTGCTCCAATGCAAAGTTGATAAAATATATGAAAATTTCTCTCATTGGGATTGTGCATAACAACTCGAGATTTTTCCAATAAAAAATTTGAAATTTTACCTCCAATTGGCTCACCTCTAACGTCAAATAACATTTCAACATACTTCCCCTGTAAGAAAATGGCAAGTGAAATTTTATCATCAAACAAATTTGCTCTAAATTGACTTCGAAATGTAAAAATACAAAATTGTAAATTTTTAGTAAAATAATTATTCGAAACACTTACAAATCTGCTCGAATTATTATTTCTGACAGTTTTGGCATTTCCAAAAGCTTCTAATAATGGATTTGATTTTAAAACGACATTTTTCACATGTTGAACTTTTAAACCACCTCCCGATACTTTGGTAATAAATGACATAATATATTTAGCTGCCACTGTTTTTCCAGCTCCAGACTCTCCACTTATTATAACACATTGATTTTCTCTATCTATGATCATGTTTCTAAACATCTCATCTGCCAATCCATAAATATGAGGTGGATTTTCATAAGGAGCCTGAAATAAAACAAAAAATTATGTTTTTAACTTTTCAAGATAAGTTAATGGTAAAAAAAAAAAAAAACAAAATTTTTTAAACTTACTGCTCCCTGATATGTTTCAATTTCTTTATCGGTGAAATAAGGCATTTGTTTAAAAGGATTAACAGATATTAATACAGATCCGATGCAAGTCTAATAGTCAATTACGAGTTAAGTTAATTTTTTTCTTTTGTATAATTTCGTAAATTAAAAAAAAAAAAAAAAAATTTACAAAAATGTAGATTTTAAATAAACTAATATGATTTATTTACTTAAACTGATTAGAAATTAAACGAAATAATTAAAAATTTTTAAAGTAATTACACTGAAAATTAATTAATGACAGTGTTTAACTGATAAAAATATTTTTATCAATTACTGCTAATTAAAAGGATACAAATATGTAATCATCCATATAACGTTTTCGTAAATTATCCACAATTGCTTCTTCTGTGATTTTCGACAGAAGAACCATGTCATCCACCCCTGATATTTTGACATTTTGTGGCTAAAAAAAAAAAGAAAATAAATTTTAAAATTAAAACATTAAAAATATAATTTTAAAAAACATGGAATTTTAAATAAAGTTTATCATAAATCAAATTTAAAATAAAAAATACAATTTATCGCAAATCACTCAAAAATACCCAAAACTTATCGCATAATTTTGTGTGTTCAATAATTTTAATTCATTATTTTACCTTTTTAAAAAAAAAATTACAATTCCAATTATTTTGACGCACTAAATTAAAAGATTAAAAAAAAACTATTTAGTTTTATTATAGTAAAAAAAATTAATGAAAAATATAAAATTTTATTTAAAATCTAATAATATTCTTAATTTTGCACTAATGATTGAACATTAAACTTTTACTTTTTTTTTTTAAACTGAATAAAAAATAAATTTATATTATATTTTGTAAAATTGTTTTTTTATTTAATATAATAAAAAAATTAAAACAACGTTACTATTTTTCAATTCAAATTCGTTATCAATAATAATTTAATTCAAAAAATTAAGATGACTTAAAAAGATAAATAAAAAATATACTCATAATTGTCAAGTTTGAACAAGTATTAAGTAAAATTGTAATTAATTTTTTTTTTTTTTTTTTATGTAAATAAAATCAAATATCATAATAATTATAAATAAAGGAAATAAAATAGAAAAATACATAAAAAGTAACACTTACCATTATTTATTAGACTAACTAACACTAAAAGGAGAATTATCACAGTGCATGACTCAGTTAATTCGTCATACCAAATAAATACAAAATTTCAAAAGTCTACATATCATATTTAGAAATCAAAGTGGAATTAGAATAACATTAAACCAACTGTACATTCTTTTTTAACGAATAATTTAACCTATTTTCTTTTTAAATATAATTTTTTTTTAACAAAACACTCTCATAAAATCCATAAAAATAAAATAATAATAATAAAATTTATTAACGAATAATTAAATTTTTGCAATTAAAACAATTACCCAACGGTTTTATTTATTATGACACAGGAAATGAGATTTCCTTTCTGTGATGTGATTGAGCTTTGAGGCGTGACTTATAAACCCTACCTTAAATACTCAGATTTAAAGAATTTTTTTAAATTTTTTTTACTTGTACAAAACATGACGTATTTCTTTTATGTGCATATATAAATTTACAATCTTGTTCTTTTTATATTTCAACAAATCATTAGTATTGTTTTAGAATATTAATTTTTTTTAAAAATATTCAAAATCAATGGCGGATCATATAAATATTCAAAAATCAAAACAAAATGGCGGAAAGAGCATTATCCATTTTTAATAATTTAACAAATTTTCAATATTATTTCTTATATAAATTAAGTAAACGTTATCAAATTATTAACTTGTTACTAATTTTATTATTAAATAATATACAATAAATTTCGTGTGGTGACACCTAACGATTATTCTATATAAAGAAATCCTTTTTAAGGAAGTGCAAAATACGTTATTTTAGTTGTATTTATTAAAATGACACACATTAGTTTAATAAATACAATTTGAGTGTTTTCAACCATGTCACTTTTTTTTTTAATAATAAAAATTATGAGAAAATTCAAAATAATCGATCAACCGTGAATTGTATTCAGAATTTCATTCACCGGCATTTTAATTTACGTGTGAAACCATAATATACCGGTTAATTTTAAGTCCATTCATTCATTACCATTCCTGTAATTTATATTAAATAACCTCTTCGCTGAATTTTATGGGGAAAATAACAATAATAATGATAATAAATTCACCTTCAATCGTTGAGTTCAAATTCAAGGAATATATTTTTTAGAATTGTTCAGTTGTTCCAATCTCGATTGCCTTATTTGTAAAGTTGTTATGAAATAAGTAAATGTTAATTTTATCAACTGAAATACATAAAAAATAAATAAATAAATAAATTTAAAAAAAAAAAATTTTTCAAATTGTTTAAATAAATAAATATGGCGATTTTACCCTTAAAAAAGTTTGAGTGGATAAATTATTAACACCGGCAAATTTCAATATTATTTGTCTTTGCGCTCTTATTTGTATATATAAATAATTTCTTTTTATTTTTCTATTTGAATCGAATAAAGCGGTACTTAATCCTAAATCAGGTATTTCTCCGCTCTAAAATAATAATAATAATAATAATAAAGATTTTTTAATGACATTATTTTAAATAAAAAAAAAAGAAATCGTGAACGTAAAATTTAATTAATTAATTTAAAAAACCGTTTAGCATTATTAAATAATGGAGATTAAATTTTTTTTTTTTTAACATTAATTTACAGTTCAAAGTGTTAAAAAAGAAAGAAAAAAACTTACACTCTCACGAAGCCAATCACCAGCTAATGAAAATAAATATAATTGTAATGCGTCAATTATAATTATTCCATTTATCATGATTCTTTGAAAAATGTCCCAATGTGATGACTTGAAATTAAATTTTATTAATTAAAATATTATTTATTTATTTTTTTAGTTATTTATTTATTAACTGTATAACTTACCGATATTGCCACAAAACCCGCCATAAATAAATCAATTAGACTACCTATGTAAATAACGCTGAGAAATGGTGATGATATTTTATTAAAATCCTTCATGTTTCTAAAAAAAAATGAATAAATAAAATAAGGTTAAATATAATAAATAATAATAGTTTTAATGATTATTTTTAATACACGAAAAACGCATTATGTCAAGCCCTAAATAAAAAAAATTATTATAATAATGATATTATTATAATTTGATGTAACCGTTACATCTTTAATTCTATAATCCAAAAATTTAATCCAAAGTGATTAATGATGAAGAATTTAAATCTTAACAAATATTTAAGGGTATTAAATTTTAAAAAAAAGTTTATAGGAACCCCTTCGAGACATTATTTAAATAAAATAAAAACAGTCACGTCGAAAAAAAAAAGTCGTATTTTTCTTTTTATTTTCCTTACTTCAAAATTCTTTGATGTTGTTTAATCCACCATTGTAATTTCGAATTTAAAATTTCTTGGGTTTGTTCTTGAAAAATTAATTTCAATAAATATTTTAAATAATTTAATTGTATTGCGGGTACAACGATCATGATCAAAAATAAAAAATCAACGACTGCTCCTCTTGCCGTGACAAAACCATAGCAAAAAGTTTCAAATAGAACCGTGTAAGTGTATTCGGGATTCTTTGATGAATCGTATGGTGTCCAACTGAAAGCAGCCGTGGAATCACGTTTCATTCCTATCCAACTCAAAGTGCAAAAAATAGCATGTAAACCTAAATTACTTGACAATTGTATGATTCCTTTGTAAATGGTTATTTTTTTTATCAATGAATAGTGTTTGTTATAAAATTCGATAAATGTATCGTCGGCCAATGGATTGTTCTTCAGGTCGATTGATATGCCTATGGTTTCATCGAAAATATCTTGAAATAAATTTTCATTTTTTTTAAATACCATTAATTTAAAAATTAATTGCAGCACGTAAATCGTTGATAGAGTACACGTTGTTAATATTTCAATGTTTTCAATTGACAAAACGATTTGTACGGTTTGTGATAAGAGTTCGACGAACATTGTCGCACACGGGATATACACGTATAAATTCCATAATATGTTCCGACATTTTGATTTTTTCTCGTTATTTAACGGTCGCGGATATTGAACTCCTATTATTGAACCAAATTTTCTATGTATGTGAAGATCTATATGATTTTTCATTTTCTTATGAATGTGTGTCTGTGTGTGTGTGCTGTAAAAAAACAAAAATAATTATGAAAGAAATATTGTATGTTGAAACTCAAAATTTTACCAAAAACTCATTAAAAAATTATTGAATTATTTTTTAAATATGTGAATCAAAAATTTTTTTGAACTTTTTAATTTTTAATTTATTATTACCTTTTTTCCTTTGACTATCACATCTGCTTTTTCCTTTTAAACAAACCAAAAAATTTTCATTTTGTCTTTGTCAAAGTTTTTAAATATTCATAAACTGGATTCTAACTGAACTTTTCTTTTTTTCTATAGAATTCTACAATATTGTGTAGTTTTTTTGTTGTTGTTGAATGATTCAATTCATTTCTATGCATTTATAAATCTATAATAAACCTTAAAATAAAATAATAAACCTTTTTTCAACTGTTTTACAACCTTTTCTTTTGTTTTTAAATTAATGATTACTAAAAGTCATACACAACCATATTTCTGTGTACCTTAATATTTTTTTTTTAAAGTATAAAATGTTTTTTAAATGGGAGTTTTAAAAGAACTTACATTAAAACATACAAAACTTTAATGTTAAAATTATTTTTACTTAAATTTGCCAATAAGCCCTCAAAAAAATTCTTTACTGCCATTTATAAGAAGTTTTATGAGCCCACTGACTCCCGCGCTTTTGGCTTCTATGTTATTTTTTTAACGTGAAATAAGAAACGACAATTTTTTATTTTCATATTTAAAAAATGATTTGAAAAAATAGTGATATTTTATATATTAGAATAAAATCTTTGTAACTATTAATTGTTTTTTTTAATATAAGAAAACTTATTGATTCTCAAATTATAAAAAAAAAAAAAAAAAAATACCTGAAAGCTGTGCTTTGAAAAATTCACTTGAAACAAAAACGTGGCATTAGATTATAGAAAGTTCGAGACGCGAACGAGGCAGTATATGGTAGTTAGCAACTACTATACTAATTAAAAAAGTTTTTTAAATATTTTAGTTATATTTATTTTATTTATTAAGGTAAGCCGATTTATTAATATTATTAAATACTATTAATTAAGTTAATATTTTAAAGAATTTAGCATTTTGAATTTATAACCTATATAGGTTAATAATCCATGTGCTGAGGCACAGCCGTTTTACTTTCACAATTTTAGATTACAAGTTTAATTATAAAAACTAATTTAATTATCTTATAATTATTTAAAATTAAAAATAGATTTCGTTTCGTATAACAAAGTAACATTTGAAATGATTGAATTTATTTCTTTCATTGTAATAATTTACCATGAAAATAAGAGATCAAAAAGAATAAAAATTGAAATGAATGTATTTTACAAAGATAGAAAGATTTAAAAAAGCATTACTTTAATTTACTTTATTTGCATTATTCAGAAGTAATAAATAATATTTTAGGAATAATTATTAAAACTACTTATTATTGTCATGACAATGTTCTTAAATATTGTTTGCATTACAAAACATATTATTTATAAATTAAGATTTTTATCTTGTAGAAATTAAATAGTTTATTGTAAAAATGCTAATGATTTACTCGTGATTCTATATTTTGGTATTAGGCAATTCTAAATAATCTTTATCGAACCAATCATCATCATTTGAAGGTACATTGATTTCAGGTTTTAAAGTTGTTAATAATGGTTTCTTATTTGAGTCAATGCTAAAATATTTTAAAACATCATCCGATTTTGGTAGTTGTTTAGGTGGAGCATTTTGAAGAATAGAAACATCATCGCTTGTAAAAATCCCTTTAGTAAATTTAAAATTCTGAAATTTGTTTTTTATATTAATTTTCATTAGTGATATTGTAATTATGAGAATTTTAAAATGATGTATAAAACAATTTTTAACCTCTGGTAAACAATGATGCTGTACACAATAATAATTTATTTGACCATCATTGTGGCACCAGGTACCATCTGGAAAATATGGATCTATGTTTAAATCGTTTAACTCCATTCTCGGTGTGTAAAAAGAATTGGTGTTTTTTCTTTTGCAAAAAATTGCACAGGACATCCATAGGCGACCTGAACAAAAAAAGTTTCAACATTTGATTTGCATTTGTATAAGTTTAGGCTAATTCAAATCCAATAACGAATAATAACATTTGCATATTCTATCATTACCTGATTCATATGTTGCCTGAAGGCCAGAAGCTGATTTATCTAGTTCGGGTAATAGTTTGCTAAATTCTAGACACTTTGTACCTGCATAATCTGTTATAGGTTGTCGTTTAGATTTACATAACTAAAAACAAATTTGAAAGGTTTTTTTTTTTGTTCAAGATTATTTGCTGTTGCAAATGTAAATTTTTTAAAATTGAATTAATTTATGAAAAAGAGAAATTTATTATGTAAAAGTTAATAGTTTCGTTTATGAGTACCTGGTCGTCTTTACAGAGCATTACTTCAAATCCAGGCCCATCGCATCCTTCGTCCGTATTAACAGGTGCGGGATTGGTGCACGTCCTCCTTTGGGATTGATGACCTGAAAAGTAGAAAAGAATTTTTTCGAATAAATTTTTTTGTAAGGTTTTGTTATGAGAGCAGTAGTAATAGGTAACCTTTTGATTTTTCTAAACATTGCGAAGAACATTGTTTGACGGTTATCCAATCGCTCCATCCTCCTTTGACAATATTCAGTGAAGGTTTTTTCTTTTTGTTCACACAAATTCCCCCTTGGCACCACTGCAAAGACATAATCAAATATTTAAATCAAAGTTTTTTTTTTTTTTTTTTTTTTTAGGGCATTTTAAAAATTTCTTTTTTTGTTTTATGTAAAAGTGAAAAAGTTTCCGGCTTTTAAAAAAAAGACTTTGAATATTTAATTAATGTTGCTTCGAAACTTTTACTGACCTTATTTTCTCCACAGGTAGTTCCTTCAAGAGCAGGCCCCGCAAAATAAAACCCTGACCTGTGGGGAGTTTTACAGTGCAAATTTTCACAAATCGTCTGAAATTTTTAAAAATCGCGGTTGAATTAAAAATTCAAAAAGTCATTTTTCTTTTTGTAACGATTACAGAAAATTTTCTTTTTGACTACTACCTCAAGTCTTACTGTGTTGTGGATTTCGGCATCCTTATCTCTTAACAGGACTTCGCATTGTCTTTTGGCTCCCCAATACACTCCGGGTAAATTTTCATATTTTGCGTGGTCTAAACCTTTTTGAGGCTTGGGAGGTGAATCTTCTAAACATTTTGCCCATCCCATAGACTTTGCCACTTCTGCACTACAAGTCGACCATAATGTTTCACCGTTGGTTCCTCTCGACGGAGACATTATGTAACCCTCTTTAGGACAATTATTGTGCGTACTGTCGTGATGCATACCTATGCTGCAAATCATTTAAAGAAAAAAAATTATTATCGTTATCTTTTTTCTTTCTTATTGTAAATCGTCTTTTTACGATTCACGCTTCTTACTTGTGACCCATTTCGTGAGCTAAAACGTAAACGGAAGTGAAACCAGCCGACGGATACGGTTTTCCGAAAACGTTCGTTGTTCCCAGCTCGGCAATCACGCAATTATATTTTTCCATGCAGACTCCTCCGACCGTTGCCAAACCCATTGTCACTCCGCTTCTTTTACCATTTTCGTAAGCGAAAAAATCCAACCTTTTCGACGCAAAAAAAATATTTCGATTCGTTTTCAAATTTTATTCGAATTTTTTAAAAATTCAATTTTGTCTTACCCCGAAACGTATAAGCCCATGTCCCAATGATTTGGATTATCGTCTCCTTTCGGATTGTGTTTTTGATTGTAAGCGCAAAAAGAATCCAAAAGTTGTGATCTTTCTCCGTTGTAGTGCGGCAAATCCGAGGGTTGCCTTTTTAATATTTCCATTTTGATCAAAACAATATCGATGGGTTGTTGCAAACTGGGATGATGATACAGTGCTTGAATCTGAAAAAAATTTAGAAAATTCTTCAACCGAAAAATGAGTAAAATGGGTATACAGGTTCGTGCGACTAGAATTCGTACCGCGTTCATGTAAGCCAAAAGCATGTCCATAATTTCTTCATCTTTGTATTTAAAATAGGGAGCAAAGAGTTTATATCCGGCTTCGTCGAAAAACAATGCGGTTTCAATCGTTAATTTTTTATTTCCACTTTTTTGATCTCGTTTGACTTTCTGAAGTAATAAAAAAAAATTAATTAAATAAACAGGAGCAAAGAGTTCAAGGCCCCATTTTAAAATTTGCGATAAAAAGGATTCGCAAAGGCATGGACGTATACTTTTTTCGGTCGCGATAAATAATTAAATGTCCATTGATAATTTATAAAAGGAAACGTTTATCACTTTTACTTATGTACATTGCATTGCAGGAAATGGCGAAGCGATTTTGCGAATCGTTTTTACATTTTGACATTTTTATCCATGTGTGACGCACTCATGGTTTTACAAATGAAGAGAAAGCTTTTTGTAATTGTTTTTTTTTGTAAACTTACGATTAAATGTTGAAAAGTTTTTGACAGAAAGAAAGAAAACTAACAAACCTGATTACTTGAAAATGGTAGAATAACATTCGAAACGTCGTCGCCAAATTCTCTCGGTAAAAACGGTATCCTTCTCAACATGTGAGGAACGTGTTTTCTTTCGAGTTTGTTTGGTAGGATGGGACGAATTTCGAAAGTGTCGTTGGGTAGGAAAAGAATACCTTGCTGAAAAGTTTATCGAAATTAGTTTTCGAAAAAACGAAAGCGCGAAAATATTTTCCATTTACCGCTTGTCTCTCCTGACAGAAACTTATGGCCGCCATCATGTCATCTCCCCGATGTAAATAATGACAGTGAGTTTCGGTAAAATTAAGTTCTCTATCTCCGTAAATTTCATCTTTCACATGAGCTTTGAAATTTGGACTTAAAAGATTTCTATTCGGATGAAGTTTCAACTTGACGACGCTAATAAAAGAACAGAAAAAACATGAGAGTTGCGTAACGGAAAATTGTTTTTTTCTTCTTTCGTTGTTTCTTACTTTCCGAAAACGTTCAAATCAAGCGGAAGTTCTGAATTAGACTTTGAATTTAAATGCGGAAGGTGAAATATTTCGTAGTCTCGTGTGTCGTCATTTAAATCGTAGGTGAAATCGTTTAGCAGACGTAATCCAGTTGGAAAATTCTGAAAAATTAAAATTTTCTTTAATTTATTGATGTATTTTTCCTCTAAACACGGAATAAAATAACGGCATTAAAAAAAAAAAAAATCCGTTCGAGTCTAGACTTAAATTAAAAACCGTATTAAGAGTGAGTGAGAGAGAGAGAAAATTCGTACGGTGAGTTTTCATTGTTAGCTTAACTGTACTTTTGCATGTTAATTGGAAAGTGTCAAAACAATTAATTTCGTTTCACGTTCGCACGTTCGTTTCACTCGCACGGCACCCGTTAACGAAACAAAAAAAAAAATTTTTAACTTTAATTAAAAAAGTAAACAATAATAATAATGATGATGATGATGATGATTGTGATGATAATTAAAAAACGGAAATTTCTTACCGTGTCATCATTTCTCGGTACTTGTGCCGAAACTAAAGAAAATCCTGGAAAATTAACAAAATAAATAAAAATAATATTAAAATTATTCACTTTATAAAGAGAGGGGGGGGTGTAAAAAAATAACAATAATAATAATAATTATAAATAAATAAATAAATGAAAAATACGTAATACTTGACCTAATACGAATATGACAAACGCTGTCATGTTGTTGTTGTTGTTGTTGTTGTTAATTTACCAATCGGTACCAAAGTGAAAACTGGAGATAAAGAGCATTCGTTTAACCCTTTTATTAGATTTCTCTTGTCGACAATTCGACAGGTGGCTTACTTGCCACCATGGTGTCCTTCCTTACTTTTATTGTTTTCCCTACTTTTTTTTTTTTTTTTTTTTTTTTTTTTTTGTCGTGACGACGAACGTGCGCGTACTTGTCGTTACGATAAATTTTTTTTTTTTTTTTTTTTTTTAATTTTTTATTTAGGGAATCATCACCTAACGGTGATGCGTGCAAGGTCACACGTGACGAACGCCACAGCTTTTTTTTTTTTTTATTTTGTTTCACAATTTTAAATTGATTCGTAAGAGAAAGTGAAAGTTTGCGTTTGGGTTAACAAAGAAGAAGGTATAAAAAAAAAAAAAACTTTTTCGAACGCGAACATGTGTCATAGGATCAGTAAGGAAAATCGTACGGAAAATTTTTTGCCCCCCGGGGGGGGGGGAACCCGCCCGCATGAAAGCGGTCAATAACAAGAAAGAAATTAGTGTCACGCGCTCTTGATTTAATATTAAAAATTTTTTGGGGTAATTATAATGATGACAGTTATTAAACACTTCATAAATAATAATAATAATAATAATAAACAATTGTAATTAGTTGTCGTAATCATCGTTATTGTTTTTGCCCGCGGAAAAAAAAAAAAAGTGAAAATGGACGGAAACATCTGCCTCGTGCCAATATTGATGATTTGCATTTAAAAAAAAAAAAAAAACTAATTAAATTTTTTTTCTTTTTGTTTATATAATATTATTATTATTTAATAATTTTTTTTTCAAAGGAAAATTTTTTTTAATAAACAAAATGACGGCCAAAGATCCGGAAAGGAAAAAATTATCGAAAGCGATACTTCAAATGAAATTCATGAAAAAAAGCAAAGACAGGTTCGACAAAGAGCGAGATTTGGAAGAGGGAAGAGCCATGTTTGCGAGCGAAGTGACCGAAGACATGAGAACGAGCGGCAGTAAAATAATAATAGAACCCAGTTACGTGCCGTGCGAGAATTTGATAACGGGAAGACTTTCTTATCACGGAATGAATCCGGAAATCGAAAGGTTGTTGTTTGCGGAAAAAAAACAATCGAACGAATTGAAACGGGAGAGAGTCGAGGATAGCGACCAAGTGGACGTGAGCGATGTGGAAATGGCTCGAAGGTACACGTCGTTGGTGGGAACTCTGTCGAACAGATTCAAGAGTAAAAATAATAGGAAAGCCAAATCCGAGAGGAGCGAACCGCCGGCAAAAAAGGCGAAATTTTTAAAACCGAACGATGATTAAATAGTAAGTCGATGACAGGGAGAGAGAGAGAAAGGCGGCGGAAATCCGGGAGTGGAAAATACGAATGACTAATGCGAAAAAAATTCCAAAAAAACCGCCGCCGACGCACTAAAAAAAAAAAAATCATAATAAAATTTGTTTGTTTGTTTGTTTGTTTCAGATTGTTTGGAATTGCGACACAAGAAGTTTTTATTTAGCCGGGGGAGGGGGTCGGGAAAAAGTGGGATAGAGAGAGAGAGAGAGAAAAACTTTACTCGCGATCGTCACGATGATAAATTATTACGAAATTTTAGGATGTGACAAAAACGCAACGCGTGACGAAATAAAAAAATGCTACTACGAAAGGGTGAAGAAATACCATCCGGACAAGACGGATGAAAACAAATCACGACGGGAGGAATACCTGCGATTGGACGAAGCTTGGAAAGTTCTCAGAAATCCGGAAACGAGACTGGAATACGATTTGTCGATGTCTAAAAACGATTTGAAAAACACTCCGCTGTATTGTAAAATAAATCTGGAAGAAATGTCGCGGGAGGAGGAGGAAGAGGAGGGCGTCAAAGGGTACTCGTACACTTGCAGATGCGGAGGAAACTACTTCGTGGACGAAGAAGAAATACATTCTTGCGAAGAACTTGCGGTGCCCTGCGACGAATGCACTTTTCACATCGTCGTAAACCTAAAAAAATAACGAAAATGATAATAATAATAAAAACTGTTTTTTAAATTTTGTATGATTTTCATTCGCGACGTTCTTTTTTTTTTTTGTTTAAATTTAAAAAAAAAATTTTTTTATTTTTGTAAAGTTGTAACCTTGTTAATTGGACATTAAAATAAATATCAATGCTTGTTTCATGTAATGTTTTGTATAAAATTCGAAGAATAGGTTTAAGAAAAGGAAAGGAAAACAAAGAAAAACAAAAATGATTAAAGGTTTCGAAGGAGATGAAAGCAGTGATAATAGCACATCCCTAACGGTTTGTGAAAAATGTTTAAAATGTTGAAAAAAAGTTTTTTTTTTTTTTTTTTTGTATTTAAATGAAATGTTAATCATTGTTTTAAAATAAATAAAATTTTTCATTTTTATAATGCGGGAGAGGCGGGGGGAGTTCCTCCTACTTAACGTTTATAATTTTTTTGAAAAAAAAAAAAAAAAAAAAATTTTTTTAGAAAATCTCAAATTCAAGAGTTTACACTCCGGCACGAATGAGAAGGAGAGCTAGACTATTGGAAGAATCTAAAAAAGAAAATTATACGGTAAAAAAGGATGATAGTATGGTAAAAACAGTAGTATTGAAAACTAATGAAAATGAGGAAACTATAAAATCGGATTCAAGTCCTGTATCAAAAGGATTCAATAAAAGTTTCGAAAGAAAAGTTTTTTCACCGAGCAATACAATAATGACACCCATAAGGAAAAATTCTTCCGATGGACAAAATAAGTTAAATTTTCAAAATTCCGTATCGACGAGTAGATTTGAGAATAGTAACCTTTCTAGTTCCATAAATAAAATGGGTAACTTATATGGATCTTTATCGTCTCTCAGCACTCTCGGAAGGTACCCAATATAAAATCTTTTGGATTCTAACTCGACTCTCTGTTAATTATTTTAAATTAAATTTTTTTTTTTTTTTTTTTTCTAGTGCCGAACTTCACGACATTCGACCCATTAACGGTAATGGTAGTAATTTAATAAATAATTCACCAAAAGATAATGAAAAAATTAAAATTTTAGCAACTTTGTTACCCGATCAAATTTTAAGCGATCCCACTACTCGTAAACTTCATTATTACAACACGGCCGTACTTTTCCCTGACGTTTCAGGTGGGATACGATAAATCGATACGATAACTCGCGATATATTTAATCATAAATCGATTATTAAATTAGGTTTTACCCAGCTTTGCGAAAAATATGACAAAACAGGAAAAGGAGGACCGTCGAGATTGACGGAAGTATTAAACGGATATCTCGGGTCAATGATACAAATAGTACTTTCTAGAAACGGTGACGTTTTTAAATTCGGAGGTGACTATTACAAATTATGACAATTTTTTAAATATAATAAATGGTCCAGAAAATGTATTAGTTTTTTTTTTTTTTTTTTGTAAATAGGCGATGCTTTTTTTTGCGTTTGGAAAGTACCCGTGAACGGTGATATAAGGAACATTGTTTATTTGGCCATAGAATCCGCAATAGATATACAAAAAAATTGCGGTGAACACGAAACGGATGTCGGAGTTAAACTCGGAGTAAAAGTTGCCGTGGCAGCTGGAAGAGCAATTTTTTCAATCATAGGTACCGAATCTAGAAAACATTACGTCATTTTCGGTTCTCCCGTAATTGATGTGAGGGATGCAGAATTGTTATGTAAATCCGGAGATGTTATTGTTGCACCTTCCGCTTGGAGACACGTTGAAAATTACATGCTTTATAGTTACACGTATCATTCTAATAACACTCACATAAGGGTAAAAAATAAAATTCGACACTCGAAATCCTATCGGGGGAAAAAAAAAAATAAATTAAATTTTTAATGTTTAAAGGTACACGATTTCGGTCCCATGTGGAAACCCTCGGCTATTCCCATCAGTAGTGCATCAAACGCTAACGATCCAGGTACCGAACGTAATTCATTGAAATTCATAACCCGATTAAAAACGGAAGAACTTCGTCCCTTCATACTTACTCCCGTTATGAAAAGCATTGATTTAAATCAATCATTAAGTTACCTAACGGAAATGCGTCAGGTAATTAATATTTATATATATATATATATATATAATAATAATATTCGGTTAAGAAAGTCACTCGATCGCGAGCGAAAGTCATTATTATTATTTATATTTAAATTTAAATTAAATTTAAATTTAATTTCAATCAACTGGTTAATTAATTATTTTTAAGGTTGCCATTGTTTTTTTTAATGTAGTCGTTGATTTGAGTAATGCATCCGCCGAGGATTACATTAAACTAAGTCACAAAGCTTTTGTCATCGTGTCGACGACAGTTGATAAAACGGACGGAGCCGTGAATAAGTTGACTCTCTTTGATAAGGACATGGCGATATTAACGGTTTTCGGGCTCAAGGGATTCAAACACGAGCTCTCGAGTCAAGTCGCATTAAAATGCGCATATAATTGCGTTGAACAATTAAAAAAATTACCAATATTGTCAGCATCCGCCGGCGTGACGACCGGTGAATAAAAGAAAGTTATTTAATAATCGAATAAGTCAAATATCAAATAGCCCCCCATTCTAAAATTAAAAAAAAAAAAAAAAATTAATTTTTCACGACAGGAATGGCTTACTGCGGCGTTATCGGACATCCGCTACGAAAAGAATACACCGTCATGGGACGATCTGTTAACATGGCGGCTCGACTCATGTGCGCGTATCCGAACATAGTATCGCTCGATAGAGATTCGTTTCTTCATTCGAAATTAGAATCCGGTCATTTTGAAGTTTTAGAACAGAAAGTTTTAAAAGGAGTCGAAAACAAGGGACCGTTTTATAAATTCAATTTGAAAATAACGTGGGTAAAAAAAAAAAAACAGTCAAATTTTAACGCGCGAGAGAGAGAGAGAGAGAGAAAGAGTTTTTTGTTTTTGTTTTTATTTTCAGACGAAGTAAATTAAAACTCGATTACAACACGTATCCATTATTGGGAAGGGGAAAAGAAATAATGGAATTTGAAAAATTATTGGATGAATACATGAATAAAGGGAGTAAAATAAATTTTATGGTTATTTACGGTACTGCGAGAATAGGGAAAAGTCGTTTGATTGCCGGTTTGATAAACATTGCCGAAAAACAAAATTATTCAAACGAAGACAAAACGGAAGACAATAAAAGAATTGTAGTGAGTCGTGAGAATTCCTTGTAATTTACTAAAAAACTACAATTTAACTACAACAACAACAACAACAAAAAAAAAAAATTAATCATTTTATTTTTCTTTCGAAAGGAAAAAATTCGACATTTTGACATAATCATAATATTACTAACCGAGGATGATTCGAAAGTAAATAAATAATTCCGTTTGTTGTTTGTCGATGTGATAAAAAAGACACAAAACTTTTGATCGAGTCTAAACTTTTTTTTCAATGATTACAGGCTTCTTATTCTGCCATAAGACTCCTTTTTCAACAACCGTTAGGATTGAACGAATCATCTTTGATTGAAGAAAGAGAAGATAAGATAGTGTCTAAATTGGAAGACATGAAAGACATATCACTTTTACCAGCACTCAATCCCATTTTTAATGTCAATTTCGAATTGACTCCCGAATATATGAGTTTGACGGTGGAGCAACAAACGGAAGCTCAAACCACGTTGACGAATCATCTATATAAAAAAGTGAGAATTTTGGTTATTATTATTATTATTATTATTATTAATATTTTGGTCGATTTCTCGCGTCAGACGAAATAAATATTTTTTAGTGTTTTTCAAAAGGTACAAAATGGTTGGTTTTTATCGACGATGCCGAATTCATGGACGACGAATCGTGGATCATGTTGAAATGGTGCTCACATTTATCCTATTCGGTTTTTTACGTTTTGACGGTGGGACAAAGGAGAATTTTATCACATGCGGCTACAGAAGCTTTGGCGTCGTTCAATCAAAAAAAAATCGATTTGGGGGAAATTGAAAAATGGTATTATTCGGGGATGGCGTGTCAAATACTCGGTGTCGTCGCCATACCGGTAGAACTTGAAAAGTAAGATAAATCGTTTTAGTAAGATAAACAAATTGAAAGAAGTGCTTTTTGACAAATTGAAAAAAAAAAATAATTACAGTCTCATGCAAAAATTTAAAAGCAGCGGAAATCCAGGATGGTTGGAAAGTTTTTTAATAACTCTCCTTCAGTCCGGAAATATTTACATAAGTCAAATATCGATGAACGAAATTAAAAAATTAGGACTCATAACCGCACCCGATGAAATGTTATCGACGGCCGTAATGTCAAACGAAAATGAAAAATACGACACTTCGTATTGGTTGGATTACGTTGAAAATTTTGAGGTTTTACTCGCGTTCCTCCCCCCCCCCCTCCTCCCCCAAACGTTAATTAAATTTTTTAACAATAAAAAAAATTTTTCACTTTTTTATATTCAGGCACATAAAAATGCTGATTATCAAAAAGTAAACGTTTGCCTTCTCGGACCTAATTTTTTCGTAGATAATAAAGCGGGAACGGATTTGACTATGGACAGTAAGACAAAAATAAACATTTATTTTACTAATGAAATGAATTTTAATTTTTCCGTACGTTTCAGCCATGTTTATAAAAACAATCGACGGTTTGAAACCTATCGAGCAATTAGTTTTAAAAGTAGGTTCCGTGTTGGGAAATAATTTCAGGAGAACAGCTTTAGCATTTGTCATGTCGAAAGATAGCAGTTTCAACGAAAGATCTCTTGCAAAGGGTAAAATTCTCATTTTTTTTCTCACTCGCAATCGAGAAGCGGATGATTTTGTTTTTTTTTTTTTTTTTTTTGAAAAATTTCAGCCATCAAAACATTGTTCGACATGAAAATATTAACGTGCGCAAAAGGAGATTTAAATTTTTCAAATATTTTAGCGCCGAGGCGAATGATATTAGTCACGGCTATAAGAAAAGAAATCACGTGCGAATGTAGCGGATTAGAAATCCCAGGTAAATCTCATCGTCATTCGAATAATTTTTTTTTTGAAGCGCATTTAAATCGGATTAAAATTGTAAGATTTTGTCTACCAATCAATCACCGATTAGATACCTGTCAAGATTTGCCACAATATGCCAATTGCGGTTACATGCAGTTTAGATCTCCTATTTTTCGCGAAACGGTTTACAGTTTGTTACTCGACGAACAAAAGAAAAAATATCACATTGGGAGCATAGATTATTTTAGAACGCACACGAACAAGTGTAAATCCTGCGATTATACGCCGTTTGATAAAATCATCGGAATCAATAAAGACGACGGGGTACGCGTGTGGCTTTATCATCATCATTATCATCATCATCATCATTATTAAAAACGTTTGAGTAAAAACAAAACAACGATTCGATGCAAATTACAGATGGTTTTAGTTTGTAATATAAGTCCAATGCACGGAGCACGAACGACAATCGTTAATCCGAGAGCAGGATTCCCTTTGCTATCCATCGGTCAAAAATTTGTTCTCTTCTTACGAATGAGATCGACGGAGGAACATAGAAGAACATCGCAAGTGGACGTGGAATTCGGTAGGATATCCGGAACAATGGGAGATTGTCAATGTCCGGAAATTTTGGCATCCGTTTATTCGATTTTACTCGAACATGCGGCGGGTTCAGGTAGAGGAAAAGTTTTTTTTTTTTTTTTGTATTTGGGAAAAGAAAAAAATTTGGCAACTTAACGGGCGTTTTTTTTTTTTTTTTTGTTTAATTTTTAGGTCGAAAAGATATATTGTTAGAAGTACAATTGGAATATGCTTCCCTCAATCTGACAACTTACAACATACCTTTGACGACGCAAATTTTAGAAGATGCTTTAGCTTTGGCAAACGTACTAAATTAATTTTAGTAGTAATAATTTAAATAAAAAAAAAAAAATGCGGTGTGTGCGCGCACGCGCTAACGTGAACCTTTTGATTTTCAGCAAATGAAAGAAGAAAAAGAATATCCGGATTTTTGCACGCCTTATATTTTTAGCAAAATCTACACTTTAATGGGAGCAATGAAATTAAACATGGGTAGAACGCACAATTCGTTGGAATTATTAAAAATGGGTTTAAAATATTTGAAATTTACCATACCCGAATCGAAGAGAAAGGTTCGTTTCCCCCCGTCCCCATCATTTTCGTTTGTTTTTTTTTTTTTTTTGTCAAACTAAGTTTTCCTAACAATAAAAAAAAAAAAAATTTTTTTTTTTTTTCAGATAAAATTATTGACAAAACAACAAGATATCAAAAGGAAAATAATGACGGAATATTTTCCACATAAGTTAATCGGTACCTGTTCAGAACAGAAAGCATCATGCCTTGATTTACTTTCCGAATGTATGGGATTAATAAGCGTCGTTCACATGGTGAGTCCCGTTTTTTTATTTTTTAAAAATTAAAAATGGCGGTTTTTTATTAAAGAAAAAAAAATTTAATAAATATAATACATAATAATTAAATTTACTGCCGCCAATTTAAAAAAAAAAAAAAAAAAAATGGCTAAATGACTCAACGTTTTTCGTCGAATCATATTTCAAAATGAATTGAATCGTACCTGAAACGAAAGGAAAAACGTTGAGTTCGCCGCCATTTTGAAAATTTTTTTTTTTTTTGAAATGAGAGTGACGCGTTGCCAACTTACTCGGATTTGTCGTGTTTATCGTTTTGAATTATTTTTTGTTCGACGACGTCGAAATTTTCTTCTGCTGGTTGAATTTTAAAATTTTGTTTTTCCGTCGGTGTCGCGCCATCGTAAAATTTTCCTTTGATTATTTTCCTCTTCGGTCTCACGCTACTCGTTTGTTCTTCTTCGTCATAGTCTTCATCCGTTTCGTCGTAAAAAGTGTTTTTGTAATCGTCCATGTAATCGTAAAATAAAAAATGAATCAAATTATTGTCGGCGACATTTTGTTTTTCCGTCGTTTCCGTCGCGACACTCGTCGTTTCCGTTGAGTAATAATAATTTTTCAACACGTTTTTTAAATCTTCTTCGTTTTTTAATTTCATCAACGGAAGCATGTCGGCGTTGACGTCTTTCGACAAAGTCAACAATTGCGGCCAGTAATCGCGAAAAATTTGCGAAAGAATTTTCGAATCTTGTGCGTTCATTTTGCCATTTCGCAAATCGTCAATTATTAATGGAACGGTCGAAACGACGGAATCTATTGACACGTTCGCGTTCAAAGTTTTCCCTCTTAAACTTTCTAAATAATTTGAATTTTCACGTTCGGTCGTACTCGTCGGATCGTTCTCTAACGTTTCTAAAATTAATATGTCGGATCTTCTTTGATCTTTCGATTTATCGTCCGGATTTGGTGTTTCGATTTCGTATTTCGTATTTGACTCGGTGTCCCTCACTGTCGTAAGCAAATTAAAAAGAAGAGGAGAATCTGTGAGTTCTTTAATCCATTTCGTACTTCCGGTGTTTTGTTCTTCCGTAGAATGAAATGGTGTCGTTTCGGTGATACCATTCGTCAGGTGAAAGGTCGATGGTGACGCGTTCGTTGTTTCCGTTTTAAAAGATGGTGGTGGCGTCGTCGTCGTCATCGTCGTCGAAGGATTCGATGTCGAATGCGTTGCGTCCGATTCCGTTTCGAAAACGATGTCGTTTGGAATATTTGAAAAAAATACGTGTTCCTCCATAGTCGACGGACGAACGTCGCGTTCGCCCGATGATTCTTTCAAATCGTTAAATTTGAATCCTCTTGTGAAAAACGAACGGGGTTGCGGTTCCGTGTTGTAGTTTTTTGTTGTTGTTGATTTTGTCGATGGTTCCGTGAGAAAAACTTGCGAATTAATTTTTCCACGATTCGAACGTGGCGTAAGAAACGATGACAAAGTCGTACTTTCAGTCTTCACGCCCGTTTTCAAATTTAACGGTTCCGTACGGTTTTCACGTTCGACATCGAATTCGGTCGACGAAATTCGTTTCGACAATTCATCGTTTAAATTACTCTTTGCGGAAGTATATTCCGTCGTTGAATCGACGGTAATTTCCGGTTCCGTCGTCGTAACGGTCGTTTCGAAATTTAAAATTTTTGTAAATACGGAATTTTGTAAATTGTCGCGAGATCGTGAAAAATTTTCAATTTCAGGACCATCCAAAAAATCGAAACTTTTCGATTTAAAACGAGTAGTCGTCGAATCGTCATCGTTTTGCCTTCCCGTTCGATCGGAACCGTTCGAATTAATCAAACCGTTAATAATTGTTTTTATGCTTTCTTTTAAAAAATCTAAAGAATTTTGAGAATATGGCGTCGTCGCGATGTTTAATTTATCACCTTCCTGTAAATATTGATTTTTTATCGATTCCAATTTATGTTTTGTCGTCGTTGTCGTCGTCGATTCATCGTCCACGTTCACTCCGACATTTTCTTCGATTATTTCTTCGACTTCGTAAGGTACGAAAATGGTCGGTCTTTTGCTCGCCCATGGAAACGGAGAAGAAATCGTTTGAGGTTTCGGTTTTAATTTTTGCGAAAAAGTCGTATGTTTTGTATAATTTCCGTTTCCGATTTTATTCGGCGCGTAATTAAGTCTGATAGAATTCGAATTGTTTTTGTTATTAGCAGTTTGAAATGAGACAGTCGAATCACTTCCGTTTTTTTTCGCATTCTTTTGTAAATTAACGAATGTGTCGTTTCCGGTAAGATTTTTCATTACTTCCGTCGCTTTATTTTTCCCACTCGTTCCCGGTCTTTCCAATTTTCCGATTTTTTTCGAATCGTAATTCAACAAACCGTTTTTATTTCGATTTAAATTATAATTATTATTATTATCATTCGTAACCGGAAATGTATAGTAAATATTAGGTAATTCTACATGTTTACCGATGGGAGTCAAAAGAATTTTCTCGTTGCCGTTTCCGAAAAAATTAATTTTCTTATCGTCATCCGTTTGAGGTTTTTTACCGTAATAATTTTTCTGGGGGGCTTCCCTGTACGGCATTTTTCTTTTCGTTTCGTCGTCACCTTTTCCTTCTCCGGTTTCGTAGATTTTATAACTCGAATCGTTGGAATTTTCCAAAAAGTTTTTCCAGACTATGATTTTCGAGACTCCGGGAGATTTTGCCGCCGGAGAAACGTTTGATGGCGTAAAGAGTAACGGTCGTAACGGAACGTATGCGTAACGAACGGAACTTTCTAGAAAAAAAAGAAAAAATTTATTTAATTTAAATTAAATCGAAACAAGCTAAACATTATCTGGTCCCCCGTAAAATAACAAAAAAAAAAAAAGAAGGCTTACCTGTTGTGATGATTACGGTGGTGAAAAATAACACAAAACACGAAAAACGTTTCATTTTTTTTTTAACGGAAAAAAATGTACCGAACGGAACGAACGGTTAAAAACAAATTCTAATTCTAAAATGTCGTAGTCGTTGTCGTCGTCGTCGTCGTCGTCGTCAACGATTAATAATTAAAAATATTTCATTACGCGAAATTAAATTTTTTTTTTATAAACAAAATCCACGACGCGTCGGCGATTTAATGATTTAGTATTATTATTACTATTATTATTTTTTTTAAAACATCCGTGATGCGCGAACGTTACGCCGCGAACGTTAAATAAATAAATGAAAAAGAAAATTTTTGCGCGTTAAATTTAAATCTTAAATAAATTTGACCCGAAAAAATTTGTTGTTGTTGTTGTCGTCGTAAAACGATTGATCGGTGTTTGATTCGATTGTCGCGAATTTTAATTATGAATGGATTCGACGACGACGACGACGAAAATAAACCTTTTCGTAGAAAAAAAGGAAAAAGGGTTCGTTCTCTCATATTTAGCATTCGACCGATACCTTTAATTTTTTGCGATTGATGACCTTTTCGTTTCGACAAAAGGTTTTTGTTATAAATTTATCGTCGGAGGCAAAAAAAAAAAAGAAAAGAAAGCGGGCGGGCGGGGGGCGGGAGGGGAAATAACGGAATTTTCTTTTTATAGCGAAATAATAATAACAAAAATTATAATAATAATGATAATGACCGAAAAAAAGCAAAAAATTTGACCTAGAAAATAAACAATTGTATTGTTACCATCATCATCATCATCCACGTCATCGGCATTCAGTCATTCATTCATTCAATCATTCAGTCATTCATTCATTCAATCATTCAGTCAGTCATCCATTCATTCATTGGGTACCGAATAAATAAATCGAGAAGGCAGTGCGTGGGTTTTTTAAAAAAAAAAAAAAAAAAAACGATCATCGTTAATATGTAACAATAATTAATATTATTATTATTATTTTAAACGTGAAAGCGAACGCAAAAATTTTCTGGAAATTCCAGAATTCCAGGCCGCTCGAACGGAAGTTTTTGCTGTCGTTCAGGTCGCTTAAAATTTGCTGTTGATTCTTTTTTTTACGATTTTATTAAATTCGTTAACGCTTTTGTTGTGCTCCCTTAAAAAATCATCATGGCCGTCGTTTCGAATAAGTTTTAAATTTCCCCTTATTACGACATTTTTTTTAACGACTCCAGGTTTTTCGATTTCATTCGACGAATGATTCTTCGACGACTGGAAAATGTCGTCGTCGTCGTCGCGGACGTCGTCGAAAATATTTTTTTTGTCGTTTTCCGTCGGTGATCGTTTTTCAACGACTGTAACGTGAAAAGTATTTTTCCTTAACGATTTAGAAGGGATTTTATTCACGTCGTCCGTCGCAGAGGAAGTGGATGAATTTTCTCCTTCTTCTTCCGGTAGCGGCGAATCGTTTACAATCGGAAGTAAAAAAGTCGTGGAAGAAGAATCGCCGTAGGAGAGACTCGTCGCCGTGTTGACGGTTTTACCGAAAACTTGAAACGAATGAGCGGAAACGATTTTTCCGTGACCCAATTCGAAACCTTTTTTCGACAAAATGGTTCCCAATTTTAAACCCGCGAGAAAAGCCGTGCCGGAAGGATGGATTTTCGTTAATAATTTTCTTGGTTGTCTCGTACGTCCTGGATGCGACGGCGACGACGACGACGACGATAAATTTTTCGGAAAAAGTTCCAGAAAAAAAATTTTTTTATAATTTTCGTTCGTTGAATTATTATTATCATCATTCTTCGCCGTATCGTTTATCACACCTGGGAAGAGGGAGAAAAAATAGATTAATAATAATAATAATAAAATGATGGATTTTCTTAAAATCCGCTTTTTATACCTGATTCTAAATCCACGATAAACACGGTCACGTTTCCATCGTCATCGTGAAATTTAAAATTTATAAAATTTTCAAAATCTGAAAAAAAAAACAAAACAAAAATTTTATAAATTTTTAAAAATTTAAAAATATTAAAATTTAACGGTTTAAAATTAACGGGGTCAATTTATTTTCTCTTGTTTTTTTTTGGGGGGGCGGGGTCAACAAACGTCGTGGCAACAACCTTTTCAATTAAAAACAAAAATTTTATTTATATACGCGAGATAAAATTAACAGAATCGCCATTTTTTTTTTGGAAAATTTTACCCGACGGAAAAAATAAATATGGAAACTCACATACCTGTCGTTTCGTTGTTATTATTATTATTATTTTCCATCGTTTCGGATGATTTTGTCACGTGAAAAAAATTCAAATAAATTATAACGGAAAATTGTAAAATTTTAACGAGACGCATTTTTTTTTTTACTATTGTAAAAACGTACGAATAATAATAATAATTTTCCGGGTTTGTTTTTAATATTTATTCGTTGTCGTCGTGTGTCATACAGGAGCCCTCATTTTTCCAATATGGCGGCACGAATTAACGGTTGCACGCAACCATTACCTTCACATTGCACAATATTTAATTGATTTTTTGTCGATTTGCGTTCCAGTACATGCAAAATTGGTTGATGGCGAAATACGCGTCGGCGGTCGCTCTTAACAAAGCACTGGAATCGAACAGGAATTTTTACGGTTTGTGCGTTGCTTACACGAACATGATCGACGTCGCTTATCACTACAAGGATTTAAACACTTGTGCTAAAATGGAAATATGCGCCGTGGATTTGTGTAAAAGATGTAGGAAAAAAATAATAGAAGTCTACGAATTGGAAGCCATAGGACGATTGTACAAAGTTATTTTTCAAGCGAGGTATTTTTAACAAACGAACAAACGAGCGACACAAACAAACGGTTGTTGTCCACGTTTAATCGTTTTAATTGTTTGTTGTTAAGGCACATGAGAGCGGAAATTGAAAATGCCGTTTTCATCGGATTTCAAAGTATAAAAATAGCAACCGTCATACGTAGCACGTCACTCAGATTGGATTTAATGCCGGATTTAATATTTGCATTAATACAATTGAATAGATTATCGGAAGCCGTGTCTTTGCTACAAGAACTCGAATTCATGTCGCAAGTCGATTCCGATAAATCGAGCATAATATGGTAATGGTATCATTATTATTATCTCCTACTCCTACTCGTCGCCGTCGCTTTGTTGTCGTTACCCTTCTTTCTTTCAGGTATTATGCAATTTGTTTGGATTTTCAATTGGATACGGGATATACCGTGATACCGTACGAAACGTGTCAAGCATTCGTTAAAGAAGAAGAAAATTTTGCTTCGATACGTGACGTTTACAGCAAACATCGTTTGTTCACATCTTTGTGGTTGTGGTGAGACAATTTTCCCTTTTCCGTACTTTTGTTTCAACGGTTAAAAGTTGATGATAAACGTGTCGTTATGCGTACAGGTCGATAAGACACAACGAATGGGAAGTTTCGAAATCGTATGGGAACACTTTAAAAGGATTTAAAATATTGGACGCGGCGGAAACTCCCTCGACCGTTTTTACAAGATTGAAAAGGTTGGAAGGAAATCTTATTTCTCTCGTGCATCGGATCGATACGAAAAACATACACGCGGTCACGTCTGCGTATTCGGATGTACACGCTCTCATGGCGAAAATAAAAAAAGATGTGCAAGTCGTGAAAGTATTGAAACCGAGGTAAATCCATGGATCGATAAATTGATTTATTTCCTTTTTTCCTTTTATTCTTTTCCTTTTTTTTTTTTTTTTCCTTTTCAAGGTATTTACTTTTGAAAGCTTACTACAGACAAATAAAATATCGCGACAACAGTTGTTTTAGAATATTAAATCAAGCTCGTAATATGGCTGATAAAATGAAAGATAAAAACACGCACGACTGGATAAATCATCTGAAAATGGTACAAAATTTATTAATACGAACGAAAGGTTGGATTCATCGATCGATTAATTATTATTATTATTATTATCATCGTTTAGGTATGGAGTAATACCATATCCCCCATTCAACGTGATTTTTGGATCGAACATTGTCGATATAATTTAATTGATTGGCACGAATCCGATGGACAAACGAAAAAACAATCCGTCATGTATTCTCTTCCACTACCGAAATTTTAAAATTTTCCTTTTTTTCTTTCTTTTATTATTATTATTATTTTCTTTATGTGATATTGCTGTAGTGCTGTTGTATTTTTACTGTTGTTGTAAAAGACTTTTCAGTGTGAATAAAATCAAAATGATTATTATTATATATACTAAAAAAAAAAAATTTTTCAATTTATTTCACGTCAAATAAATATTTTTTTTCTTACGTTTAAACTCTTAACAATAATAATAATAATAATTTTTTTTTTCTACGGTATTTATCGTCTGCTTTTTTACATACTCGGTAATAATAAATTAAATAAAAAATTATTAAATTAAAATTAAAACAATCCGTACGAACGTACGAACGAGTGAAATTTAATAATAATAAAATGGATTCCCTGAGAGTGTCCAATCTGAGTGATTGATAATAAATTGTGCGCGAACGTTTCGTTTAAAAAAAATTTTTTTCACGCGTTCGGTTTCCACAAACGAACGCATTCGATTATTAAATTTAAATGATTCATCCATTTAATCATGTCTTTATTCGATTCGGCTGAAAATAAAATTTCTTCTTTATTATTCGGTGGTCCCGTCACGACGACGAACGAATGTGGTCGAATGCAAACTTCCAAATCGGCAATTTTGACTTTTTCCGTGCACGAGGGCAAGTGCAAAGAATACACTGGAACCTGAAAGAGAAAAAAAGGTTTTTCATTTATACAGTTGAGAGTTACGAATTTTTTTTTTTTTTTTTGTTGAGATTTTATTTTTCCCCCGTACCTTATTATTTTCTTCGTCTTCCGGATACAACCAAGAATTTAAATAATATCCGCTTTGTGAAAACCACCATCTTTGCCAACAGGAATTGTTGAAAACGTTTAAAAATCCAAACGCATCTTTCGTCTCCACGTTGAAATCCGTTTTCAAATATAAAACCAAAGCGTCTCTCATCACGGGATGTTGAGGAGGCTAAAACAATAATAATAATAATAATAATCAACATTTTTAAATAACCCGGTCGCGCGGTGAGTTGGATGGGGGGGAGGGGGTGCATACCTCGGAAAATTTAAGTACGCATTTGTCTTGTTTACGATTCGATACGTTTTCCAATTTCAAACGTGTCGATGCAACGCATTCGAAATCGTGTTTTTCACCGACAGAACTCGTCGTTATGGTTTTTTGTAATGTGTTACCCGCCAATTCTTTGAGTTTTTTCATCAAAAATATTTTTTTAGGTTCTTTTCCCTGAAAAACGACGAATCATTATTATTATTATTTTTTCGAAGAGTTAAAGGGGAAAACCGTTCCCAATTCACCTCTTTTCCGCGGCGTTTGTACAATTGTATGTTTATGACAAAATCCTTGTTTAAATTTTGAAATTTCATCGGTTGATCGAAATAAAGTTTTCCATCTTGTTTCATTAAACTCGTGGAAAATTGTACGTTTTCCTTTTCCGTCGCCGTGCAAACAAACGATTCGGAAACTAAAAATAATAATAATATTTTTCCATTTGCTTCCTCAACGACATATTTAACAATATGGACGTACCCTTGTTGAGTGTGACGTCATCAACGTAAAAAACTATTTCCCTGATGGTGACTTGACCGTAATTGTCTTTAAAACAACCGTTCGCAGTACCCTGCGAACGTTTTAACCTTTCCATTTCTTGCAAGGCTGCATTCAATCGAAGCCCTGAAATAAAAAAATTCGTTACAATCGAAACCCCTCCCTCCACATTTTCGATTTTTTTGGAAAAAATGAAAATTTTTTTCACCCGACAGCAAAAGAGTTTTTTCACATTCGAAATATTCAACATCCATTGATTTTTTATTCTTCGACAGCGTCATAGCTTTTTGAGCTTGACGAATTTTGGCTTTTTGTATCGTAGCTTCCATTTCTAAAAAATCAAGTTTTTTCAACAGTAAAACTTTTTCATCCCCTTCGTCGACGTCCGTTTCAACATAATCGATCGTAGTTAAATTTTTATCCTGGAAAAAAAAAAAATAAATCCAATCATTACATCTCGTTTTACATTTTTTTCTTCTAGGTATTAAAAAAAAAATACTATTACGTTTCTTGCTAGCCTCGTTACGGTCCTGTAACTTTCCAATGAATGAAATGTATGATTTAATGGTTTTGCCAACGAATAATGCGAGGGTAAATCAGCTTCTATTTCTTCCAGTAAATTCGATGTCGACAGACACTGTGTGCGTTCCCAAAAAAAAAAAAAAAAAAAACAAAAATTAATTTGATTCTAAAGTTCAAAACATGAAAGTAAAAAAAAATAAAAAATTTTTTATTGCTGTCAACTCTTTGATAAGCAAAAAAATTTAGGCGTAAACAAACAAACAAACAAACAAACAAACAAATAAATAAACATTTTTTAAAGCTTTAAAATTTAGCAAACATTACATTTTAGTAACAATAAAATTTTATTGTTAAAATAAACGTATTATATTTAATAATAATAATAATAATAATAATAATAATAAATTTATCATAATTTACGACTTGATTTCATAACTCATTTTTTATACTGATAATAATAATAATGATAACGAAATTACCAATTTCGATTGTTCTAAACTTTTACAAAATTCATATTCGGCAACATCGTTTAAAACGTTTAAAGATTTCCAATTCGATTCTTTTTTTCTAGAATTTAATTCTCCATTTTGTAATTTTTTTTCCGGTACTATTATTTCAAATTCTGATGATTTCGAATAATCGTTTCGAGATGTTGTTGTTGTTGTTGTCGTTGTTGTTTCGATAACGTTCGTTTCTCCGTTCGGTGTCAATTCGTAAATTTTTGCAAAAACTAATTTTGGCTCATCTGGATCTTTTTTTTTTTTTTCTAGAAAATTTTCCGAATCCGTCGTATTGATATCGACTGGAGAAATACGTTCTGGATAATTCGAATCTGTTATTTTACGATATTTTATCGGTGTCGAATGTTTTAAATTAAAAGGCGTCGTGTTATTGTTGAGAGGATTTTCATTTTCTTTATTTTTATTAAGTCTCATGCTATCTCTTGACAATGCTTTCATAACACATAAATTCCTTGCTCTTTTTTCCGGTGTCATTTTATTGAAAACTTGATCGTGAAATCTGTATACCATTCGCTGCAACAACAAAAAATACAAATAAATTTTAAAAAATTTTTATAATAATTTCCTCATAAACCATTTGTAAATTTACTTCATAAAATTTTTAACCCCCCACCAAAAAAAAAAAACACAAAATTAATTTTTTTTTATTACTTTTATGTACTCATATTCAATCCATAAATAAATATCAATTAATTATTTGTTAATTTTCATCCTAAAAAAAAAATTTAAATTAAATAAATTTAAAGAAAACTAAAATCTATGTCAGTATTACTAATAATAATAATGATTACATATAAAAATTTATTAACTGAATAAATACTTAATTTATTGCTTTTTTTTATGCAACACTGAATGATTTTACAACATGTAAAACGGTTAAACATTCCAATTAATATATATAATTAATTAAATACGTGTTAGAAAAACTTTAAGACAAGTTAAAACATGAAAATAACCACCTCCAAAAACAAATCCATTTCGTATTCCTTAACTACTTGTACACACACACATTTAATTATATTTAACGTTAGTCCGTCCGTTAGGAGTTTTATTTAAAACTGAAAAAATCAAATTATGATATTGTTTTCATTTAAATGAAACCAAAATAAATTTTGTTTACCTAATGATTCATTTATTCCGATAATAATAAACAATTCAAAATATTTTGATAATAAAACAATGGCACACACCACCACAGTTCAAACATTAACAGGCAGTTACGATTTTTACAACTGGCGACAATATTCTCCCTTTGTCGGATATCGTTCAAATACGTTCTCGAATTCTTTTGAATTAGTAACCGTTTTTAATTGTTGTGTGAAAAGTGTAATGGAAAGAATTCAAAGAATAAAAGTAAGTTTTTATATATTCATTTTACTTTTTATTAATGGAAATTATTATTATTATACTTTACTACTACGTCTTTGTTAAAAAAAATGTTAATATTTACTTATTATTCGTGAAATAATGAAATAAAAGAAATTTATAAATGGCTTGATGTAATTGAATGATTACAAGTTTAAGAAAACTTTTATAATACAAAATTTCTAAAATATATATTTATAAACGATAAAATATAGTACACGATTGATAAATTTGAAATAAATTAATTTATGTAAATAATTTAAATAATAATATTAATAATAATATTGTAAAAATCACAGATTTGATAGACGGATTCTTTTTGAATTTGTTAAGAGTATTCCATAAACAATTATATGGATTATATCCATTCTTTATAAATCTCTAGTTTTTGAAATATTGCAATTAATTATTCTAACATTTGAAAATGTCTTTTTACATACGATTGATAGCAAATAATGATTAAAATTTTGTACATTACATATACATTACTTAAAAATTAAAAATGATTCGTCAGCCATTTTCTCTAATTATGACCCTTCAAATTCATTTTTTTCATATCGTTATTCGATGATTGTATGTCACGAGTAAATGACATGTCACGATGGTCGTCAAAATCACTTCTCGTTATAGGCATTTCAATATAAATTGTAGAATTATTTAAATTTTTAGGATTTGTCACGGTTTGAGATTTAGACGAAGGTGGTGTGTTATAACGAATTTCGTCAATGGTGGCAACCAGAGCACTAACGCGATCGTTTTTATATTTTTTTTCTGGAGTTTTTTGTAAATTGTCATTTACGTTTTCATAATCGTCGTTTGAACTTTTTACTGAACTTAAAGGATACGTTATTGTTAAGGTATCAATGGAACATTTTTTAAAAATATCATCCAATTTAGAATCGAAGGAACAAATTTTACTACTGTCGTTTGACATTACATTCGAATTCATTTCACTAAATTGTGACTTTTTTAAAAACGATGAATCATTATCCGATTGATAAGATTCAATTTCTTCTGCTTTTTGTATTGTGCTGAGATTTTCATAATAAAGAGGTGATAAAAGTCTATCCTGAGTATGAACATTATAATTTAATGTGCTTTCCGAATATGTTCTCGGTGAATGTGCAAATTCAGATAATTTTGCCAAATCTGATTCTGAACAAATGGGTTTTCGCTTGTTTAAAAATTGTTTTTCAGGGTTTTTCACAGGAGAAGATTCCCAGTTTTTTTCTTCTTTGCTAACTTGATTGTCAATTTTTTTATCAAAATCCTTGAAAATTTTAAATTGACTATCTATGCTTTCTTCGTTTTCCTCAGTGATAATAATTGAGTCTGATGTCGGACTGACAGGATCAAAAGAATTTTTTAAATTTGTTTGTTTGTTAAATGAAACGGTATTTCGAATTTCGCTGTGCATTTGTTTTAAAGACCAAAGAGTTGTGGGCAATTTAAAAAAATTTTTTTCTTGTTGAGGTGTTCGATGTTTAGATATGCATGTTATACGTCCTGATGGATGGTTAAATTTATAATAAAACAACATGCTAGCTGTACCTAAAAAGTGAAATGAATGTTTATAGGAAAATTAAAGAGTGTTCAAATCACACAAGCATTTCCTTACCAATTAATGTTCCGCCAATAATTCCAATCACACCAAACATACTAAGTTTGTATGACGAGTTGTTTCCAAATGTCAAAAATAATATCAAACAAGCAACATTCTAAAACGATAACAATTAAAAATTACTTTTTTATTTTTAAGAGCAAAGTATTTTTTTAAAAAATTATTCACCTCTGTAACAGTTATTAGATAGAAAGCAAATAATCTCCAACGTGATCGTCCTTCTTGTAAATTAAAAAAACAAAAGCAATAAATAACTCCGACAACCATGTTGTAAATTTTTTCTTCCCAAAAAGATTCGCAAAAATCAGTCTTTTGACAGAATATCCAAATTGTCATGGCTATCCAATGAATAGTTAATAATAAAAATATGTAATTTCCAAAATAATAAGCACCTAAAACAATGGCAGTTATTCTAGCAGCTAATGTTCCAGTTCTCCAAATTCCTTGTAGTAAAAGTCCTTTCCAAGTGCTTGAATTTTTTATTTGTCTTGCTTGTCTTTGAGTTTTAGTATACATGGCTAATGCCCAAGCTAATGAAAAGAGAGAGGCTATTGCAGATACGGCTAAAATAAAAAAACAAATGAAAAATTGAGTGAATGATTTTTTTCGAAATGAAATCATTGTTATGTCAAATCTTATTTTTTTAATGGCCTAAATCCAAAATTTAATCTCTGATGATTTAAAGTTTATTTCACATTTTATTTATTTAAACATATTCAATTTTATTTATTCTTAATATGATTAGTAATTAAAAAATCATTATTTACCTGTCCAATTTTTCCACTCGTTTAAATTTGCAATTAGATAAACTTGTAATACAAGTTGTGGACTGGATTCCAAAAATGATTCAAACAAATGCAACATACATAAATCGCTTTGTTCCAGATAAACATTTAAAATATTTGAATTATTTTTAGATTTGTAAGCGTTTATCCCTGCTTTAATAATCCATACATGTCTGAAATCAATTTAACAATTATTTTAATAAAAGTCAAACTAAAATAGTTAAGTTTGATGAAATAAATATTATTAATGACCTTTGAAATAAACCTAATAGTAAAATATGTAAAATTAATATATATTTATTGGATGAATTATCATTAAGGTGCCATCTTAAACTGAAAAAATTCACTATTATGGAAGGCACAAATATAAAAACTAGAGTTACGATGGCCCACGTTAAATATCCTTGATTAAAATAAAACACAACTAATATCAAATCTGTAAAAAGTAAAAATTAAAAATTTTTAATAACAGTTCACAATAATGATTACAAATAATTTTTTTTACATTTACTAAAAAATTTCACCTGTACAAATATCACATAACATTGAAATGCAAGAAAAAATTAATATAATTAAATCAAACGCTGTAAATGAAAGCAAACCATCATTTTTCTTTTTCATATTAATAAAAACCATAATTTTAATGTCGATAAACTATAAATGTACAGTAAAGCAAGCCAAAATACCGGTTGGCATTCTGTTTACACTTTTAAAATGTAACGGATTTTCGTAATAGCCAATCAAAAGACGAATTCTCATTCGGCCATTATGATTTTTCGACCAATGAGAAAACATTTAGTTATTTCAAAAGTGATTCGATGTAATTTGGCAGTTAATCAAAAATCGTTTAATTTTTTCTAAAAAAAAACAATTCATTTCAACAATTAAGTGTAATTTATATGAAATATTTGTTTTATTTTAATAATTGATTTAGTTTAACGTATTTAATGAATTCAAACGAGGCGTTAAAGGTAAAAAAAATGCATAAATCAAAAACGTTTTTTTTTTTTCAATGTAACATTTATTATATTTTTTCCATAGTTTTCAAGTAAAACAATTTAAATAATATATATAAACACATTAGGTATATTTTATTTTCTCTTTTTATGAGAAATTTCACACGCATTCATCACCAATTATTCACTTTTTTTTTTTAAATATAATTGTACTCTGATATGTTTTGTTTAAAACTTAAAAAAAAAAAAAAACTGTTTTTAATTAATGTTCATATTCACTCAAAGTACCAACTAAAACAAATTAAAGTTAATATTAATTTTAACATTTTTGTTTTTTTTTTGTTTCCTTATTTATTTTCCATTTTACAATCATAATAAAATATACTATTATTATTATTGAGGCATAATTAGCACATCAAATTACATGAGCTCTGTTGAAAAAATACAATTAAAAATTTTGTTAACAGCAATAACTGCCTTCTTTGAGATCACAATATGATTATTAATTAACTCTTGCATTTATTTATTTATTATTAATATTTACCTTAAATGGCACTTTGAACAATGTTTCAAATTTTTTTTATTTATTTAAATTATTTACTCTGCCAATTTAAGTTATATTTATTGCCATTGTTAATTTATATATAAATTACAAATGTTAAATTCCATCATCATTAATTTATAGATTGCAATTCACATTTATTCACAATTATTGATTCCCATTTAATTTTAATTTAATTTTATTAAAGCAATCATATCAAATATTATCTATCAATCAATCAATCATTTTACCTGTGCACGTTATAATTTTTAATTTTGTTCAATCTGACAATAATAATAATAATAAAAAAACCGTTTTAACCGTCAAATTAAAAAAAAAAAAAATGGAAGAAAGAAAGAAAACCATCGAAATTTTTTTTATAACACGTCATATATCATATAAAAAATTGAAAAAATATGACAGTAAAATTATTTAATTTAATTTCTTTCTTTCTTTTATTTATTTATTTATTTAAAAAAAAAAATTGTTTAAAAAATTTTCCAATTTAAATAACTAATTATCGTTATTTTATTATTATTATTATTATTTATTATTAAATTTATTTAATATAAAACAATTAAAATAACGAACAAAAAAAAAAAAACGATCACTAAATTTTTCAACACGTATTATTGATTAATAATGCACGTGCAAAAAAAAAAAAAAAAATTCAAATTAATTAAAAATGATGATAAAATTTTGATTTGATTTTTTTTTTTTTTTTTTTTTTACAAATACATAACCCTTAAATACATAATAATATAATATAATGATAATAATAATAATCATTATTATTTATTGTTGTAAAAAAAAAAAAAAAAAAAAATCGAACAAAATAAAATTAACGTTTTTTTCTATCTATCTTTCTTTCTTTTTTTTTTTTTTTATAAACAACTAATCACGTAGGATTAACCTATAAATTAAACTCTTAATTAAATTAAAATTTAATAATAAAAAAAAAAAAATTTGGTACAATTAAAAAATTAAATTTAATAATAATAATAATAATAATTATAATTATTTAAGGGTGAGAGAAATTTTTACATTCTCGTACTTTCATTTATTTATTTATTTTTTTGTTTTTTTTTTCTCAGGACAACCACAAAGTTATGGCACAAACATTCGTAGAAAAAAAAAATATATATATAAGTATAAAAACAAATTTGATTTTCGTCGAAAAACGTGCTGCTACCACGCTTGAATTTTCTACCACTACATTTCGACGACGATTTTTACTACAATGTTAACGAGTAAGTTTTCTTTTTTATTAATTCATCATTATTATTATCATTATCATTATCATTATTTTACTTTACAATTGATTTCGATTAATTATCATTATTTATTGATTTATTTACTTTTTTTTGTGATTATTTATCATCGTACCGTGAGAATCCGTTTTGATTTTTTTTCATTTCCGCTTTTCCGATTTTCCGCTTCCGGAAAAACAATTTACATTTTATTGTATATATATTTTTCTTATTCACACTTATATTAAAAATGTCAACAAGAAAAAAAAAAAAAAAAAGAAAAAAAATCACTTTTACATTTTTACAACGTATTTTGTGATCGATTTCAATGTCACGCGCGTATTTTATGGGGGGAGGGGTAAAAACAATTTTAAATTTAATTACTGCTACAATTAAAATAATAATAATAATGATAATAAATTGTCAAGATTAATGAAAAACGTTAATTTTTCATTTTCTATTTAATAGAAAGAAAACAAAAATTAAATACATATATAACATTATAATTACGCGCGTTTTTCGTGTGTGTGCGCGTTTGAATTTTCGTCGTAATTATACGCACAACACACTTTAGATTTTCTTTTAATAATAATAATAATAATAATAATAATAATAATAATAATAATAAATAACGATTTAAACAATCGACACAAAACGTTTTATTAGTAATTTTTCGTTTTTTTTTTTTTTTTCTATTGATTCTTTTTCCGATTCAATTTATTTATTAACAATTTATTTGTTTATTTATTTATTTATTTAAATTTTAATTTAATTTAATGATAAAAAATTAATTCATTTAAGTAGAGTCGAAAAAAAACGATAATTAAAAAAATATAAATTTTAAGATTTTCGTTTTTATTTTTATTATTTTTTTTTTTTATTATGACATCATTAACATTTTCATCACACGTTTTTTTTCTCTATTTATTTAAATTATTATAACAAAGAATGTCAAATTCACTTATTTATTTATTTTAAATTATTATTATTATTATTATTACGTAAAATTAAGTTTGTTTTATTTATTTATTTATTTATTTTTATTGCAATACGCATGTATTACATGACGTGTGTTTATGTTAAGTGCGTGCGTGTGTGTAAAAGTGTTTGTACGTGTGTGTGTGTGTGTGTAATTATTATGCCCTTTCCTTATGAGTTCTTTTTTAAAATTGAACGTTTTTCATTCGAACACAATTTTTTTTTTTTTTTTTTTCGGGTATTTTGATTCGTGATTAATCCAGAAAAAATTAAAAAAAGAACTTTTTCTTAAACAAACACATTTTTTTTTTTTTTTACCTGTTTTAAAATAACAAAATATAATGATGCAATAATAATAATAATAAAAATAGTAAACGAATAAATTGATGAACATAATAAAATCAGTAAACAATTTAAATCACTAATTAAAATAACGAAAGATAGAGAGAGAGAGAAAAACTATGTGTCTGTCTGTGTGTATGTATGTATGATATTTGTATATGTGTGTGTGTGTATGTGTGTGTTTGATTCACTTCACAACATTTTAGGCAGTGACATTTCACTCATTGAAAAAAAATCAATTATTTATAATTTATGCCATATAAAAGTTCACAAAACGTGAACGCCAAGTTTGCATTCACAAACGAAAACAAAAACAACAACAAAAACAACAACAAAACTATTTTTTTTTCTTTCTTCCTTTTTGTTTTCTTTCTTTCTTCCTTGCCATTTTTTTTTCGTAATAAAATTTATATAAAATATATAATTTCATTAAAGAAATTTTTTTTTTCTTTTTTTTTTTTTTTTTTTTTAAAAAAAGCAGAATAACTAACTAATTATTAACATTTTTTCAAACGTTTCAAAATGTATTACGCTTGCTGGACAATATGTCGTTGATCGTGTTCTTGTTCTTGCTGTTGAATGGCAACCGCTGCTTCTACCAATAGGTATAAACATTTGAATTTGTCTTTGTCCTCTCCTTTTTCCGGAGGCGTGGGCGGAGGAGTTTCTTCTGAATGTGAAAAGTCTTTTTTATAACCAGTGGTTGTTGATAATTCGGATTTTATGATTGAAGGCTTGGATTGCTGAGCCTGAGGCTGACACGATTGTTGATTTGTCCAATAATCGTGTCGCGGGCTGAACACTTCTTCCGGGGTATCCCTGTAAAAAAAAAAAAAAAAGGATATTTTGGATATTAAGGATAAAATCTAAAAAGAAAAAAAAAAAATTACTTTTCGTTCTCTCACCTTTTACTGTTGGTGTGCGCACCACAGTTTTTACCGCAACCGTACCTGCACACGATGACACTGTGCCACGGTTGCCTTGCTTCTTCTTCGCTAGGAGAACTGCTTTCGTAGTCTTCTTCGCTGCCGTAAATAATACTTCGCGTACCTAATTAGTTAAGAAGACGGAAAAAAAAAATATATATTAAATATATCGGAAAACTTCCGGAAAAGCAAAGGCAAATTAACCGAAGACTTCTTTACTGACTTCTTTCATCGTAATCTTGACCGAGCATGAGACGATGATGATTGGATTCCTGATCGCCGGATGCTTTTTCAGCACTACGAAGATTCAGCCAAGAAGACGAAGATTTCGTCCTCGAATTATAGGCACCAGAGGTAACTGAAGACGCATGTGATTGGTAAGTCGGACTGGCAGAAATTTTTTTCCCCCTACGGGAAATGGTGTAATGCTGCGGATCGTGACCTTCCCTTCGTATCATTTCCGGCAGAATTCGACGCCTTGCATTTATAAACCAATTACACACCTGAAGAAAATCATATTTACATTAATTTAATTTATCCTTCGAATTTAAAAATTTTAAATTAAAAAACAAAAAAAAAAACACGCAAACATTTTTGCGCACGAGTCACATTGACAAGGCGAAACAACAACAAAACAAGGAGGAAAAAAAAAAAACAAAATATTTTTTTGTTTTTGTCTTCGATTCGAAGAAAAACCAAAAACTTTGCTTGCTCGTACTGCCGAGATTGAAATTAAAAGGAACAAACAAACAAACAAACGAACTCATCTTCAAAAGCAATGAATTAAATGTCTACTTTTATATAAAAACTCGCATGGCGAATATTCGCCATTACAGGTGTTTTACACCTGTAATGAAACGAGTTTTAAAGACGTTGCGGCGGCTTCCTTTTTGGTTTAGCCAATGTTCAAGAACCGCAGAATCACAACTTAAAAAAAAACTCAATAACAACAACAACAACAACTACAAAGGAAATTATACGAACCTGAAGTACAGTAAGCTTAGCTTCCTGAGACAAGGTAAGCTTTTCGGCGTCATTCGGATAAGCGTTGTACCTGTGCTCGTAGAGCCACCTTTTCAATATTTTAACAGAATGCTTGGGCAAATTCCCTCTCCTCTTTCTCACGGTCGTGTTTTGCATTTGTTTAACTCTGGAATTTGACAATCTGTCTTCGTGTTCCAAATCGGATCCGGAATCTGGATCATCTGTGCTGCTGCTCGTCGAAGGAAATCTATTTCGAGCTGGATGAACGAAGAATGGAACAAGAAAAAAGAAAAAAAAGGAAAAAAAATTAGAAAAATATATAAAAATGAATGCATACATATATACAAATAGAATTTAATATTATTTGCTATCGCGACATTTAACATTCACACAACAACAACCAGCCTTTTTTTTTTTTTTTTTACTTTATTTTCATTTATTTTTCTTGACGACTTTGTTTTTGTTATAAATAATTTCGACGCACGAATAATAAATAACGAAATTTATTTGAATAAATAAAATATATTTATATTTATATATATAAATATAAATATGTTTTCGACCGTACCGAAAAAAAAAAATAATAAAAGATGCCAGATATAAAAAAAAAACTTTTTCAGACTAATGCATTTTAATATTGTTTTTAAGTCAGTCAGTCGGACGAAATTTGGCAAGGAAAAGAATTTTTTTTTTTTTTTTGTATTCAAATTACAAAAAAAAGCTAAAAAGCTAAAAAGCTTCTTCTTTGCCTGACCAACCTCCCTCTCACTCACGTCTATCAGAAGAACAGGTAAAGGCTAAACATTAAATTCGACAAAGAGAGCTTCCATCTTGCATTTCTTTCTTTCGTTTTCTGGCTTTCTTTCCTTTCGTCAATGGGGTCGAAAGTTCATGAGTGCGTGTGAATGCCTAGTTAAAAAGAAAAACTCGTGGCAGCGGCGGCGGCAACAGCAGAATTTTATTGTTTTTTTTTTTCTTTTCTTTTCTTTTGCTTTATTTATTAATTTCCTCATTGTTTACTTTACTACTTTTTGATCGGTGCCAGAATTTTAAAACAACGGTTTCGGTTATTTTCCATAATGAAAGAAGCAAGAAAAAAAGTTATGCAATTCTACTCGTTTCGAACGCGACAAACATTTTTTTAAAAAAAAAAAACCGTTAATTTTCAGGGTGTTCGCGAACGTTTTCAAAAAAAAAAAATTAATATTATTTCTCCGTTTCCCTCTCTCTCTCTCATTTTTGCCTTTATTAATGCTTTTTTTTCTTGACGTTTTCGTACACGTTTACAATTAACGACGACAAACGACCATTTTATATATTAAGAGTAATAATAAAAAAAAAAAAAATTAATTTTATCGTTGTCTAGTTTTCCGACCGGTGACGAATTATTAATGACGAAAAATTTTATAGGCGCACGCACACACGCACACACACGCATACACACGCATACGCACGAAAATATGTTCCAACAAAAGTTGCTTAATTAAATTTTTTTTAAATGAAATTTTAACTTAACGTAAAAAAAAAAAAAACTGATTTTTTTCCCTTCGGGGTTCGAAGAATGACCCGGCGGGGCAATCATCATCATCATCATCATCATCATCATCATCATTATCATTATTATTATTATTATTTTATAAACAGCTGCAATAGGAGCGACATCCACGGTTGGCGGCAGCGGAGTCAGCCAAAAAAAAAAAAAAATTAAAATTTTTTTACCATTTTTTTTTTTTTTTAACATACACACTCGCACGCACGCACACACGCATAAAGCAATTAATTTCACGTGATTTTTTTTTTTTCCCTTAAGGGAAGAGTAGAGGACAGGGACAAGGGGGGAGGGGGAAAGGAAAAATGTAAAAGACAGTCATGGGTTTTCAATTAGTAACGCGACCTCCTCATCGGACAAACAAATGCCAAAACTGACTTCCATCATCCTACGCGCCCCCCATCCGCCAGTTTTTCTTTCTTTCTTTAACCGCAACTGTTTCCGCCTTGCATGTTATTTTTATTTCTTTCACCCACGCCTTCGATTTTCCATACGTTATTCGTTTTGCGACATTTTGAAAATAAAGAAAATAATAAAATAAAGCAACAAACAAAACTTTAAAAAAAAAATTTTTTTATTGTTCGCGTATCGCGCGTTTCGATTTTTTATTTTTCATTTTTCCCTCCGGAATTTATTCCAGAATTAAAAACCTGATTCGAAAATGACACATTTTCCCGTATTGTCTCTCTCTTTCTCTCACTCTCTATTTTTTTCTCTTCTTCCTTCGCTTTTCAAAAAAAAAAAAAAAAATTCTCGACTCTTCCCACGGTAAATAATTTTTAAATGCATTTTAACTTTTCACATTTTCCCCGCATTTTTTTTTTTAAATGACCAAAATCGTTGTTTCCTTCCACGCAATCAATAATTTCACGTTTTTTTTTTTTAAAGGCATTTGTAATTGAATACATTTTCTATTTTTCACTTTTTCGTTCGTTTCAAAAATCGTACACCCACGCCCCCGGTACCGGTTTAGTTTCCGGTTTGTTTTTTTTTTACAAGATGGGCATATCTCCCCCTTTCCCCCTCGATTTCTGCTAAATTTCATCCCCTCTCCACGTCCTACTACTACTACTACTATCGCCCCCTTATCATTTCAGAAAAGCGACAACGCCTATTTGCTATATATCATCAAACTACTGTCGTCTGCTTTCTCAAGTCCAATTTATTTATTTATTTTTTTTGCAATAAATAAAATTTCTCGTTTTGAATAAACAATAGCAAAACAATAACAATCAACAGCAACAACAATCGATCGATTGATTTTACCTTTTATCAATAATTTTCTTTCACGAAAACAAACAAACAAACAAATTTTCGTTTTCTACTTATTTTACGGGGGTAGGTGGGGGTGGGCACATAACCGAAAAAATTATCCGAAACCGAATGCATTAACGGGGTGGTAGGAAGAAACCCGAGAGAGACGGTGGGGGGGAAGGGATTTTTTTTAAAAAAACGAGTAACAAACAAGTTAGAGAAGTTTTAAGTAGTTAAATCCCTTATTATTTATCGGCTTTCGTAAATTGATAATTATATTTACAATGTAAATTGCGTTTTTACATTTAATAACTTTAACGTTACGTAATTTTTTTTTTTTTTTAAATAAATTGTTATTTATTTCTTAACGGTGTACACATTTATCAAAGTCGTCGCCATATTTTTTTTTTTTACGGCAGCGCCCATAACTACAAATTTCGTGATATACCTAACGTTATTAAATTTATTTTTTGTTTTTTGTTTTTTTTTTTTTTTTTTACCCCGTAGATGAATCGCTTTTAATAAATTTCCTGTAATTTTTCGCTCTCTCTCTCTCTTTCTTTCACTTAAATAAATAGAGAGTTGTTTTTAATAAACTAGAATTAGAATTAAGAGGGAAAAACGAAACAAAAAAAAAAAAAAAACTTGTAGTGTAACATAACTCCGAGTCATTATTATCATAAAAAAAAAAAAAAAAACTATTTCACTACAATTTTCTTCGGTTTTTATTATTTTTCCGCCGTTTGAAAAATGGGTCGAAACGTCATTAATATTATTATTATTATTATTGCATTCATTTTCTTATTTCTTTCTTGTTTTACGATAAAAAAAAACAAAAGAAAAACGACAAACTGTACAAATAATAATGATAATATTTACAAACTCGAGGATTAAGTATATTCGGCATCGGGTTTATTAAAAACGCTAACGATATTAATAATAATGATTAAATCGCGACGAGAAATTTTCACCCGATTTAAATTTTGCATGTCGGGGCGGTGCCGAAGAAAAATAATAATAATAATAATAATAATCGCAATCGAGTTACGTAAAATAAATAAATAAATGAATAAAAAACACGCTCGCGGTTGAATTGAATTTCGGTTAACGGTGAAAAGAAAATGAGAGAAAAAAAAAAAATTCGCAATTTTTAATTTTATACAAAAAAAAAAGGGGGGAATGGAAGGAGGGAGGCCCGAGAAGGAGAAGGAAGACAGAAAATGTGTAATATAAAATAAAATTATGAGCAATTAAATTTTTGGTGAAAATTCCGAATCCGTTTAATGTCACGTTTACGCAAACCGTAGATTCCAGTAATTATTTATTATTTACTTTCTCCCTTTTCGACACACCGTCCTATCCTATTTCCCAACCCCCCTCCCCCCAATCTCCCATTCGTTATAGTGTCATAAAATAATGACGTGGAATTCTAAAAATGGAAAAATTATTATTATTATTCCTCCGCGTCCATTTAACAAAAAAAAAAAAAAAAAAAAAAAAAATTGAGAAAACTTTTAATTAAATTTACAAAGACGGGGAGGGGAGAGGAGGAGGAAAAAACTTGAGATGTTGACTTTTTACCCATTTACAGATTATTAAAACATTTTTTCATCCTTTTTTTTCAGAGTGAGAGAAAGAAAAGGGATAAGGAAAGAATAAAATACGGATAACAGAGAGAGAGAGAGAGAAAGGGATAGATGTGGGTTCGTCACAGGAACGTTCAATAAGGTAAAAAAAAAAAAACAAAAATTTAATTAATATTTATGAAAAAAAAAAAAAAAATATTCGATACCGAATCAGGGGGGAAAAAACGAAACGAAACAAATTAACAAAAGAACTTTGAATTCAAAGCTTTTAAAGTCAAAGAATTTGTATCTCGAAGTTTTTTCCTCCTTGAACTCGTCACCTAAAAAATATGTTTATTTGCGATATTTATCATCAATCGACGCGATTGATAACCCTCGAACGATTTTTTTTTTTTTTTATTCTTAATGTTCGATTTATTTTTCTCGTTTTTTTTTAAAAAAAAAAATTGTCATGTACGCGAAAGAAAGTCATAAAAAAAAAAAAAAATCGTTCTCTCATTCTTTCTCCATGTCTCGAGAGAAAGAAAAAGAGAGAGAGGGGGGGAGGATAATAAATGAAAACGTCAATACGCACACATACATATAAAAAATATTTTCATTAATTAATTAATTTTAAAAAAAAAATTCTTTCTTTTCGTAACTCATTCGAATCGGTAAAAACGAAAAATATTTCAAATTGCGGATTAATTCGCTTGCTTCCGGTTTAAAAAAAAAAAAAAATAAAGTCCCCCCTTCGGGCTCGATGAAACATACTTTGTTGTTTAAGTATGGTCAAAAATAAAGTGGGGGGTCATTGACCAGAGTGCTACCTTATATAAAAAAAAAAAAAAATTTCCAAGGTAGTCTCGTGTGAAGGGTAACCGATATTGAAATTATCCGGTTTCCACCTTGATTAATTTTTTTTTTTTTAAATTAATATTTAACTAATTGTAAAACGGATAAAATCATCA